TAAGTTTTTTTATCATTGACTCCACTATATCATTGTAAGTTTCTGGAGTCAAGTATTTTAATCAAAGTACGTTATTTCTCATTTTCTCGAATTTGAATTCACCTTCCACCCCTCCAAACCCTACCATGGAAAGGTCTGGATTCAACACTGGTCAGTTTGTTTCGGGATTTTCACGCAAAAGCTACACAGAAAGAGAGTATCTAAGCAAACAGGCGCCGACTTTGAACATGGGCCACTCCAGTCGAACAGTAGGAGTTTACCGTCAGTTTTGTAACGTACCCGCGGCCCCAGAAGTGCGGAGCGTTATTATTATTTTTTTTTTTTTGCGGCAACGGGACACGAACAGAAAACCTCAGATTCTATGTCCGGCACCTTAATCAACTAGCTATGTCCGGACCAATAATTCAGTTTCTTATTATTGTATGTGTGTGTGTGTGTCTATAGTATATTACTTTCATTTGTATAACACTTGTTTTGACACACTGACCTCTGTTGTGACTAGCTGTTCAATCATAACTCAATAAACTATAATTTGTGACCTTCATCAAGGACGAACTGAGGAGTAAGACTATTTAAACTTTACATAAGACAGATATGTGTCATCAAAATTACATCGTCAAGCGAATAATGACCCCCCCCTCCCTGTGTCGTGACGTAATGCAAAGTATACGTAAGGCCTAATTATGTGTTTACCTTCCTATTGTTAATATGTTACTTGAAATAATTTTGACTATACCGCGCTTACCTTTATGTTTTAGCTTTGTGCTTAATTACAAACAAACAAACCTTTGAGTTTTCCCCCGGTGGGACAGCGGCAAGTCTACAGACTTCCAACACCAAAATCCGGGGTTCGATTCACTGCGGGGTACACAGCAGATAGCCCAATGCGGGTTTGATCTACAACAAACCTTTATAAGTTGGCGATGAAATCACTGAGAGTAAATCACAGATATAATGACATTCAAACCGTTGACAATCGATCACCTATACAATGACGTTTAACAGCGTCAGCTATATTTCGCATTGACATTAGATAAGACATTATTAGAGAGGTAAAGAGTACTTTTATCTTCATCAGTTGAATTATTTATATTTTACAATAAATAATGATAATAATAAGTTGACAAAACAACGACTTCTAAACATAATAAAGTGTGTGTCGAAAAACGATGATTTGCCTCATTGATACCCGAGACTCTCGGATATCAGTGTTATGTCAAAACATGTAGTACCCCCCCTCCCCCACCACCACCACTAAAGTAATAAATTGCTTCATTATGCTTATAAGTTGTCGTTTTGCCAACTTATTACATTAGCATAATGTGCATTCATACTCAAGTTTCGGTAAGTACGAATTTTAAATTGGCCTAACGAAGTTTTTATTTATTTTCTTCAGTGATATGTGCACTTGTATATTTATTCTAAGAACTTGTGAGTGAAAGCAAAGTAGCATAATATGGCAACCATGTATGTGTACGGTCAAGATTTAGGAATGACGTATTTCATGAACTCATGGGCGTCCGCAGAAATGTTTCCGGGGGGGGGGGCAAAGTAGTGTGAAACTGGGAAGTGAATAAATAATTCACATACATATGTTGAATGAATAAAGGAAGAATTATGTTTCTCATTTTCCGGGGGGGGGGGCAAGGGTCTCCCTCCCCCAGCGGACGCCCATGGATGAACCTCGCCTTAAAAACTAATAAACGTTTTTTATTGTGTTTTTATCTCTCGTTGTCGTTTTTATTATGATTGTTTAACAATAATCCAATCAAATGATGTGAGATACGTATTATTAACCAATCAGAGTGAGTGCTACTTGTATCGAAGTAAGATTAACGTGATAGTACTACGATTGTAATCCGTTCGTGATTTAAAAAGTGGGTATATCGTTATTCAGCTTTATTTTTAAAACATGTTGGTACACGTTACCACTCCTTACTTAGGCGTACACTTAATCCTTCCTTTAGGCGGTCACTAATGGTCAAGACTAGTGCAGGTGTGACTACGTATGTGGTCAGTACGCTAGATAAATCGTTAATTACTTTCCGCGAAGTCTGGAGCTAAATAGGAATTTCCGCTTTCTTTTGATTGATGAGACTCGGTTACTTGACCTGAGTGACCTGTAAGAGGTTGAACATGAATTTAGGCCAAGTTTCCTTGTAGTAATTGCTACGGGCGTTTTTTGTTCTGCAAGCTACTGCCATAAACATAGAGAAGTCAGCCATGCAATACGTTTTTTAAGTGTTTCCTTTGTGTAAGAGCGAAAAACTGTGTCCAGTCACCGTTTCTATTTGGTTAAATTTTATACAGCTTCTAGAAACCTATTTCTCAGATTTTTCTGAGAAAACTCTACAACACTGTAAAACGTGTACTTAAATTGTTTTCTGTTTATGTTAGTCAACAATTTGAATAATAATAAAAGCAACAATTAGCATTTTTCTTATATTGTATTCAGTTAGTCCAGTTTGAACACTGTCAGTCACTTCTTGAATGGTGGTCAGTAGTGAGTCTAAATCAAATTAAATAGGGAAATTAACTGCATAACTGATTTTCACTTGTACTTTATTCAAACAGTTTAATGTTTTTTTTAGTATTGTTTTATTTACCATGCATTACTAACCAGTGCTGGATTATGATATTCTGAAGCCCTAAGCTATATCAAATTTAAGAGGCCCCATGTGATAAAAAATTGAAATTGAGTCACTTTTTTCTTGTTTTTAGAGGTGGCTAAGAAGGCCCCCCATATTGTGAGGCCCTAAGCTGTAGCCTAATTACCTTATGCTTTAATCCAGCATTGTTATGAATCACCATTGGGAAATTTATGTATCATAACTGCATTGCTGAGGATACTTTCAGTATCTTTGAATACACATTTAATTTAGGTTGTGTGAGATGAATAATTAATTTAATGAAATGATAAAATTATTAAACATTGCTGTAAAGTAACATTAAGTGTTAACTGTTTGACCAGAAGTATAAGTTGATTTTATTTTTAAAGCCTTAGTACTTTAAGTTTGAGGTTTTTCATGATTTTAGAAGTCTGTTTGGTTACTTCAAGCTCAGGATTTATCATCATTTTAGAAAACTTATTTTTACTTCAAGTTTTCAACATACTTCACAATTCTAGAAAACTATTACCTACCCCAAAAATTTAAAGTCTGTCATCATTTTAGACAGTTTAATGATGTGACTTGAGAAAATTAAAGCTTGCGGCAACCTTTTCAAAAGATATCTGCTTGGCTTATGGAACTTTTCTGTTAATTTGCACAGTAGAACAAGTTAATTTTTCAGTATTGTGCTAAAGTAAATCAGTGTTTTTATTGTTTTGGCTAATAGTTATTAATGTGCTATTATAAAATACATTAATAAATATATTTGTTCTGATCAGTTTCCTTGTAAACTTAGAATTTAAACACTAATTGTTTGAATTAAAAATTTTTACTACTTTTTTTTTTACCTTGGCCCGGCATGGCCTGTGGGTTGCGGGTTCGAGTCCCCATCACACCAAACATGCTCGCCTTTTCAGCCGTGGAGGCGTTATAATGTGATGGTCAATCCCACTATTCGTTGATAAAAGAGTAGCCCAAGAGTTGGCAGTGGGTGGTGATGACTAGCTGCCTTCCCTCTAGTCTTACACTGCTAAATTAGGGACGGCTAGCACAGATAGCCCCCATGTAGCTTTGCACGTAATCCATAGCAAACAAACTGTTTTTACCATTTAAGTCCTAAATATTGTATCTAATTAATCAAGAAAACTATTATTTCTTTTGTTGCAATTGATATTTAATGAAATAAGAGTACAGGTTATATGAAGATTTTGTTTTCAGTTACATTTAAGTACGATTTGTATATAAGTTTACATAATGTTAAAACATTTAATATTTACTTTGTTTTAGTTGGTCACATTATCTTTGGGGATCATCTTCTTTTGCAACTTGTAAACACCTTTTATTAAGCATTGTTCGATTTAAAGGTGGCACTTGATCCAAATTTCTTAGCTATTAAATTAATACCATTTTTCTTATTAGAGAGTGAAGGAGAGAAGGCATTACACAGATGACTGTTTGCAAGATGAAGAGATTGAAGGAAGACGTTTGTTCTCAGTTGAAGAAAAGTTAACAAGTAACCAGTTTGGAAATTTTTTTGTGAAGGAAATGAAAGGTGAAGGTATGAAATATCTCAGGATTTCTTTGTTTTATTAATAGATAGGAGTTGACTTACAGTCCTGTCACAAATGAAAAATATTAAACGTTGTTAATGGATTATATTTACTGCTTACTTATAAAGAAATATTACAATTTTAAGAAGCATGATTTTTTTTTCTAATGTATGTCCGTTTTTGTAACATTTTAGTTACCTTAAAACTTCAATACTTGATATCTGAATGTTTATGCAGGTTATTTATAGGAACTTCTTTTTGTTTTGACAGATAGTTTGAAGGAGTTATTAGGTATGAAGTAATTTAATTTTCTGTGTGTGTGTGTGTGGTTTTGATGAACGGGATTGTACACCAAGTTATTGCTCTACCAACTAAGCTAAAGGGTTAACCCACTGTCAGTTGGTAGTTAGGCACTTTTTAACAGCTTAACCCATCATTTCTTCCCTTGTCTCAAACAAAGTTCATTCTCTAGCCTTATTTCATGGTCGTGAGATAACTACTAGTTGGGCAAAAGACTTAGTTAGGACAATTTTTGCACCTCCCACAGGATTTAAATCCAGGACTGTTCACACTGCAAGTGAATATGTTACCAACTAAGCTAAAGTGTTAACCCTCTAGCAATTTCTAGTAAGACATTTTTTAACAACTTTAAATTACCATGATATAGTGAGTAGGTATACAAACAGTTTATGAAGTAAAGGTCAAATAATGTCAAGGTTTGAAGGTACTAATCTTTTTGTGTTTAGACAAATAGTTTGAAGGATTTGTTAGGTACACTGAGGGGGTATAAAAATATTTTATAAGGTAAAGGTCAAAGTTTAAGGGTACTAATATTTTTGTGTTTAGACAAATAGTTTGAAGGATTTGTTAGGTATACTGAGTGGGTATAAAAATATTTTATAAGGTAAAGGTCAAATAAGGTCAAAGTTTAAGGGTACTAATATTTTTGTGTTTAGACAGATAGTTTGAAGGATTTGTTAGGTATACTGAGCGGGTATAAAAATATTTTATAAGGTAAAGGTCAAATGAGGTCAAAGTTTAAGGGTACTAATATTTTTGTGTTTAGACAGATAGTTTGAAGGATTTGTTAGGTATACTGAGTGGGTATAAAAATATTTTATAAGGTAAAGGTCAAAATGTTACAGTATGAACTTCTTGCATGTGAGAAACTATCAATAATTGACTTGTTTTTACCACAGATTTCAGTCTTAAGTATCTCCAAGAACACGGTTTGGAAGATCCTCTAGTGTTTAAGGAAAAGTCAGGATTAGGAATGCGGTAGGTATAACTCGCTTGAGACATAATCGAGCATAAGTTTTGTTTAATTTTAACAAATATTATCCGCAAAAACTAAAATCTTGATTTGCTGAATAATTGAACTTCAGATTTAACTTTTTGGCATACACTGACATTGAATTCCAAAATCAAATGATTGATGTCATATCAAATATTATATTGTGGAAAATTTTATAAATTAACTTTTAAATATATCTTTGTAATTTGTTTAATCCTCTTTTTTTTTGTGCTTGACTGTCATTAGGTTTACGTTAATGCATGATAATATATTCTATGAATGTTTAATATGAAATTCGACCATGTTTTTCATGTACATGCACCTCTTTCTAAGTAAAAAAGAGAACATTTAAACTTCTTTTGCTGTTTCTCTGCATCAAGGAGATAATTCTAGATTGAAAAGCAACTTAAGTGTTATGTTACTACATAGGTTATTTTTTTATCAAACTGTTCAAAAGTGTTTATTTTTCTCAAAGCCAACAATGATTCAGTAATATTAAAAATAAAATAATTCATACAAATGTTCCTTCTAAGCTGTGGGCGTGAGTAGCTGCACAGCAATCTGGTAATATCGCACCTCGAGAACAACAGACTTATCACAAATTAGTCAGTCACTAATAGTTTTGTGTGGAAGATGAAGGTCTATAATTTGAACAATACCACGTCCAAACATACGGCAGGAGTAAGACACCAGTAGCTACTCATAAACTTATTGCTGAACAGAAAAGTAATACTCAGAAGAGTGTGTAATCTGCCCATTACAAATTAAAATTAGAGAGAGTACTGATTCACAGACAATTTTTGAGAAAGTCAAAAGTGGAATCGGGAAGTGTATCCGGTAGTAAAACTTTTACTGTCCTCTCTTTTTTTTTCAGATTATTTTGTAAACAGCAAACCTTCCTTGGCCTTGATTGGAAGTATAAAATAACTTTCCAAAAGAAAAAGACTGGCCAACAAATTTAAAATAAGTATATACATGTCTGGAATGTTTTAGAATTTTTATTGTTTACAGTTTTTGTTACAGTATTAGTAACTTGGTTCTTCTGTATTTTGCAGTATGCCCAGTGAAAATTTCACTGTCAATGATGTGCGTCAGTGTGTGGGTAAGCATGCTATTTTTTTGTTATTGGTTCTTGTAATAATGTAGTGTTTTATATAGAAGTTAATCTATAACTGGCATTGTTGTATAATGGTAAACATTGATTATACAATTACATTTTGCTGACAATTTATTATATTTATGTAAGAGCAAAGGAACCTCTACTCCTGTTATTTTCGTACGAGTCTGTTTCAAAGTTTGAATTATTTCATCGTCAAATAATTTTTCCCTTCGTATGTTTTTTATAGGAAGTAGAAGAATGCTGGATGTGATGGATGTGACGACACAGAGAGACGTAGAAATGCCAATGAAAGATTGGTGCAAGTATTTTGAGAACACAGATCGAGAAAAGTTACTGAATGTCATCAGTCTTGAATTCAGTCATACGAGGTTGGAACATTACGTGGAGTCCCCAACTGTGGTAGGTACCTGTGTTGTCTTACTAAACAGTCACGTTGCTTAATGAACACATGTATAATATATTCATGAAACTTGGAATCTTCTTTTTTTGTGTGTGTGTAAGAAGTATATAAAATAAATACATTTGTATGAAATCATTGATAAAAACAATAATTTTATAAGTTTCATTAACCCTAGAGTGACCTATTGGGTTGGTAACTGATGTTGTAGAGTGACCTATTGGGTTGGTAACTGATGTTGTAGTGACCTATTGGGTTGGTAACTGATGTTGTAGAGTGACCTATTGGGTTGGTAACTGATGTTGTAGTGACCTATTGGGTTGGTAACTGATGCCCCAGAGTTACCATTGTGCTTGATTGCAAACCTGTAGCCCAGAATGACCTGTTTGGTTGCTAAGTGATGCCATAGAGTGACCTGTTTGGTTGCTAAGTGATGCCATAGAGTGACCTGTTTGGTTGCCAAGTGATGCCATAGAGCAATGGTTCTTAAACTGTGGTCCATTGGATCTTTTTTTTTAGGTAGTCTGTGGAAAGGTTACATAATTCTGGAAAGGAAGCATGAGCATAATGTGTAGATGCCATTGTGGTCTGCTGAGCTGAAAAAAAAAACCATCCAAATGGTTCACAATCAGAATATATAAGAACAACTGCCCTAGATTGACCTGCCTCATTGGTAATTTATACCCTGGAGTGACCTATTTGATAGGTAAACGATACCCTGGAGCAACCAGTTTGGTTGCTTGACTGAAGTAAATACAAATCTAAACTTGCTTGAAACAGAAGCATGGCCCATTCTGGCATGTAGGTGATAGCATTTAAAGTCAGTGATGAATTGTGACTATTTGATACAACAAATAAGAAACTGTTGACATATTCACAAACTTTGCTAAGTTGCCTGTTCCTGTCAAATGCATTCTTCTAAATTGACATCTCTGTTAAAGAAATTAGAGAATAAATTGTCGATATATTGTGCAAATAAAATTTCTGATTCAAATTCGAATATTCTGCCATACATAAAGGTAAATACTGTGCCATTTTTTCTCAAATCTTTGTAGTTTTTCTTGGATAAATGTTTTCATCTATAGCATTCTTAATGTTTTTCATTTTATTGCTTTTAGGTTCGACAGGTGGACTGGATAGATTGGATGTGGCCCCCACATTTGAAGAAGAGTCAGACAGAAGCAACTAACGCTATAGAGGATATGAAGTATCCCAAAGTACAGAAGTAAGATTTCTTTTTTTGTTATTGTTAAAAAGGTTTTGTTTATTTAAAAAAAAATTAAGTACTTCTGTTTCTGAAAAGACAAAGAGTAAGTTTGTGTTAACGCTTCGAGGTACTCATAAATATATGAAGTTGTTCATGTTTAAGAATCTTTAACATTGACGATTGATTCCTGAGGGTAAAAAAAACGGAGCTTGCTAATGAAGGAAAACACAGTTGAGAGGATGAAAAAAATGATATTTATATGATTTGTTGAACCTTTTAGAAAACACTTATTCATCATCTGTAAGGTTTGAAAACAAAGTGCATCAATGTATATGTAAATATCAGTGAAGTACAACTATGATGCTGGAGAACATTGAGAAAGTACGAACAGTAGAATTAACACGTATAGACCATGAAAATATGCTAAACAAAACATTAAAAGTAGTAAACAATAGGGCTAATATATTTAGACTTTAAAAGTGCAAATACATCAGTCACAATATAGGATATGTAAATAACAGATTGATGGTTTAACTTTTTTTTTTCCACATTTCCATATTTCCTCTTTGGTCTTTTGTTTTAGGTAAAAGAAATATTACTTAGAGGCTACATTGCATGCACCCCTCACTTATGTGAAAGACTATATCTGTAAAAATGTAGTTTTGTAGTTTAAATTTTTATTTGACCTCATAGGATGAATTATGGGGGCAGAGAGGAGCAGTTGC